GCAGGTTCTCATTCTGACACCACATTGCTTGAAATCTGAATGAGGACTTTACATAGATTTGTTGGGTTTTACACTTCATCAATATAGGACAGTGGTCAGATGTATCCCTGTTAAATATTTCAGCCTCAAAGCCATTAAACTCGTTTAACCACTGAGCATTTACCAAAATTCTGTCTAACTTCTCCCATATTCTGCCATTTGTCCAAGTGTAGCAGCTTCCTCTAATAGTGAACTCATCCACACCACAGTTAATCAACATGTTGCTGAAATCCTCCATAGATCTTCTATTAGGCGAATTGCCACCATCCTTTTCGCCCCTGTTTAATATGGAATTGAAATCTCCTCCAATCAGCCATGGAGCATCCAGATTCTCAGAAAACAGAGCAAGATCATTCCACAGTATTCTCCTAAGTGATACCACACATTTTGCATACACCGCTGTGATATAATTATCAGTGCGAAGCCTTTTAACTTTGATGGTAAGGTGTTGTTCCTTATCATCCAAAATCTGTCCTTCCATCTCATCTTTCCAAAATCCCCAAATCTTACCATTCGCATTAGCATAACAGCTCTCGAAACCCAGCTTTTTACAATATTCCTGTATCTGGCTTTTATCCACAATAGGCTCTAAAATGAATAAAATAGTAATATGGTTGGTATGGATCATATTTCTAAGCCTCTTCAAAGAATTAGTAATCCCTCTTAAATTCCAAATTAGCATATTGAACTGCATGGTTAACGTTTGGATGGTCTCCCCCTTCTCTTCTTGTTACTCTTAGCTTTTTTATGGCTTTCCATAATCTCTTTTCCATCTGTGACACTTTGGACCTCCACTGAGTTTGTTTCTTCCTCCACCTCAACCTCTTCCTCCTCACTTTGGATTATATCAACTGATTTATGCTCAATCAGTTTACTGCAGCTATGAACATATGGACTCTTGTTAAAATTCTCTTCTTCCAGATCAGTGAAATTTAATTCGAGGCTACTAAATTTGTTGCAATCCTCAACCTCCTTCATGGGAAATTCCTTCACTATTTCCACCCCAACTTCTTCCTCCTCTTCATTGTTTTGCAGGCAATCAAAGTAGCCTGATTTTCTTTGCTCAATTTGTTTCCCGTAGCTTAGTATGGGCACCATATCTATCTTGTTTTCTTCAACTTTAGCTATCTCACCAATTTCCTCCTAAAACCCCTCTGTACCCTTCAGCACCTTCGTTATAATTTCTCCTTCTTCATAATCATTAATTTTCGAACATTCACCTTCCTGAATTTCGATTTGTTTAACTGATTTTCCTCCTTTATTTGATACAATCCATTCTTCCTTTCCCTTATTCTTATTCTGTTTTTCTCTAGGTACAATATCATTCTTAATATCTTTAACCTTGGTGCCCGTGGTTTTCTTCCAAAAGCAATTCCCCACCTCATGTCCTACATGTTTACAAAACGAGCAATATGAAGGAATATCTTCATAGACTATTCTCTGCCAGACTGCAAACATTTCATTTCCAATTCTGATTCTATCTAGTTTCGGAGCATTAACATTCATCTCCACACAAATTCTTGCTAGATTTGTTCTGGATTTCTTTGCCGTTTGTTCATCTATTTTTAAAGGAGTCCCCAATACTGACGCAATTGAGAACAAAATTGCTTTATCATAAAAGACCAGGGGCAGATTGGGCAATGCTATCCAAATAGGAACTATGGGAGACTCCTTCTGTGGATCGAAATCAAATGTATATTTTAAAATTCTCATGGATGTACCTAGAATGTACCAAATTGGTTTAGAGAAAATTCTGCAATAGTCTTCTTCTCTTTCAAAATTGAGAATGACATGCTTTCCATCAAGATTTCCAACCATCACTTCCCCACCGAGCTCAAAGGAATTGAGAGCTTGAGCAATCAAATTAGTTGCAGGTTTCTTATGCGAAAACTTACCCACTAAGCCGTGTTTAAACCACTGCGATAGCTTCTGAATTTCATCCTGAGATACCTGTATGAATGGCTCATTCTTGAATACCGACGCTCCTCTAACCGCCACAATCTCAGATTTAAGATCTCTAGTAACATCATCAAATGATTTTTCCTTCGCTGAAGCTACATTACGCTTGCCTCCTGCGATATCTGCATAAGTCTTACGAGGAGGGGAAAATACCCCTTCCTGGGTCATCTTACAGCTGATGATCGATCAGGAGTAAAGATTGATGAAGAAATCAGTAAACTCTATTACTGTGTGTTCTACTGTGTGTTCTACGCGTGTACCGGATTATCCCGCCAAAACGAGAGCAAAGTTTTTAGAGAGAGAAAAAAATTGATAGTTGTTGACATAATTTAGATTTTATTTGCTGTTGACATGCAAATTATCGAATAATATTTTGACTCACTGAAATCAAGATAGGTGCTTGAAAAGTAATTAAAATGACAATTTACTAACATTTAAGAAAAATGCAAAAATTAGAAGAAGATAAAATAACTCCTTTAAAATTATGCCACATA